GGAGTGGATGGCAACAGTGAGCAACTCAGTGAGCAGCAGAAAATTCAGCTGCTGTGAATCCACCAGGAAAAGCTAATTTTCTCCCAAGGGCTCTGTCTCAATTGGAAGACCTCTTACTGCCTGTTGGATGTGAAGCAATTCTGCCTTCCAACAGATCTTGGAACCTGTAGTATTAGGTAGCTCCTTCCTTTGAATTAATGAAAAGGATACATGTAGCTCCTCTGATAGAGAGTTCCCAAGACTCTCAGGCTTCCTGCAGGTCTAAGTCACGAAATGTCTTGAAGGTTAGACCTGAGATCAGACAGTCTTTACTAGTGAAAACAGGAAGCCCTTTCTCCATGCTTCCAAATGGAGTCCTCTGAGATGTGTCAACGAGCACCTTTGATAGGTTGCCCAGGTCTGGAGCAGATGCAAATGCCCTGAGAATTGTGAATGTGATGAACATGTCCCCTCCCACTGTACATGTAATTGCAACTTTTCCAGCTAGGCACACTCTGGGCTCTTTACATCATATTACAACAAGGAGAGCCCAGCTACTGGCCCTTCCTTCCCATGTCTCCCACTTCAATTATCCTATCATTCAGCATGAGTACTGGAAACATAGAGGTCCAGCTTGGCAAGAAGAACTAGAAATTAGGAACAGATATGTCTGAATCCTCTAGTTTTTATTGTGAACATGTGACTGGAAAATTCAACTCAGAGCTAGAGACACCTACTCAGGTGTACTCATCGGTTCTTCCTCTTGAATGTATTAAACATTTTTATTTCTTAATTCTATGACCAATATGTCCTCTTCTTTCTTGCGGTGGTTAAAGCAAGAGAGAGGCCTCCCCAGGGCTTTCAGAGACTCAAACAATGCGTGGAGGGCACTCCTGTGTGTAAATGAGAAGAAGGTCAGATCTTTGGTGTCTGAAGTGGCTTCAGGAACTATTTCAGGGGCTCTGGGGCAATTTGTATCTCCTGCTCATTTCCATGGCTGCTGAAGATCCTGGTCTTCTCCAGGTCAATGTAGGCCAGTGGTGAACTCCATGATTTCCAATCGGAGAAGGGCCAAAATTGGGACCATGGGGGCGGTAAAGAGTTGTATTGAAGGTATTTCTCAGCCACAGGGATTTTCTCTATAAAGAGAAGGAAGCATCATTTCAGTGTCGTCCTCCCTTTCCCAAGCCTTTAGCAAGGGCCCCTTCTAGAAGCTGACCTCCCTCCAACTGTCTCCCTCATTTAGTATGCCTCTCTCCTGCCCATATTCTTCTCCCACAACTCAATAGTTTCTTCAGTTGTTGAATGCTTCCTCTACTTTTAACTTGCAATTTATCTTTTGCAAATATTTTCTGATATCTTTTTCCTCCCTTACTTTTCAACACATCCCCGCCCCACTCCCGTTTCTGTAATTCTCTTCTACTCCTTCTTTCCAGGTATGATACCACAAATTAGACACTTACCACAAAGATGAAGAGCCCAGCAAAGATTCCTATGACCATCACAACAGGAAACAGTGTGATGAGGAAGATTTCCCATGGCTTCAGGGATCCACTAGGCTTTGCCTCATTAATGGGAGTAGAAGAACTTGTGGTAATTCTATTGGAAGTTGTGTGAATTCCAGATGGAGTAGATGTTCCAGGATCATTGGAAGTTCTATTTGATCCAGTGTTGGTTGAAGGGCTGGTACTACCAGATATTGTGCCAGATACAGAGTTGGCAGGTGTAATAGTCCCACTGGAGCTTCCAACTGAGTTAGTGTTCGATAACGTGCTAGACCCACTGGAGGTTCCACTAAAACTGGTGGTGTGGTCTGAAGTGCTAGTCCCACTAGAGGCTGTTCCAGATCCAGTATTAGTTGATATGACAGTCCTAGGGGAGGTTCCACTTGACCCAGCGGTGGTGGCTGAAGAGCTGGTCCCACTGGAGGTACCGCTTGGCCCAGTGATAATGGGTGACGTGCTTGTCCCAGTGGAGGTTGTACTTGACCCTCTGGTGGAGGCTGAAG